TACATTTTTAATTTAAGAATAATTCCTTAAATATTGGAAATAATTTTACCATTTTAACCACATATATATTCTACATATAAAAAGTTTATTTTATGTATATATATTTAATGTGTATTTTATCAATCAGCAGCTATAAAAAGATATTATTATTTTAAATATTCATTTTAAATTCAAAGCTTTTACAAAAAATATATTTTAATATATATATAAAGAGATATTATTATTTAAAACAAATTAAGGGGATCCAAAAGCTCGTCTGTTTTACCGACCAAAAATTATTATTTTGCACATTGAAATCTTTTTTTTAGTTGAATAAAATAATAAATCCTTTTCCACGATTTAAGTGCACATCGAAACAAAGATGAGACTTCACGAGTTTATGTTAAAAACGAAGAAAAGCTAAAAAATTACAGTTTTTTTACCGGCTTCTTGCAGTTTTGCAGTATGTATGCGCAAAATAGAATAACTTCGTCTTCGGAATTGCATGAAAGAATATTGGTGAACCTTTAAAAATGTATTTAGAAGCCTAGTAAAAAACATTTCGGTGTGCAAAATTTTGGCCTACGTGGCCGGATCCACTTTTCGGTGCCATGGTATATATACATATATAATATACATATACATATATTTTACATTAGATGATATACATAAAATAATTATAATAATTTCAATAACACATATACCGTCCATAATATGTATTAAAATAAAAATAAATCACGCGCAGCTAACATAAAATATTAACAAATCTATAATATTTTCGTATTTTTGATTAAAACGGCCGATTGATGTATGTCCATGCTAGATCCATAATTGTGGATCTAGCACGGACATGCACCAATCGATCGTTTTACCATGGCACCGAAAAGTGGATCCGGCCACGTAGTTCCGCCGGCTCTAAAATGGATCCAGTTAGCGCCACTGTACCGGCTAGAGAAAGCGTTACAGGAAAAACGGCGGCGTGGCCCCTCTCAGGTTTCTCTCTGATGCTAGATTCCGATCTCGGAAAATTCTACGATTGACGTGTGACATAACGATATAAAATGGCACCCACTATTCAAACCAACAGCAATCAAGCCGATCGAGATAAACGTACGACTAGGCCAGCTGAAAAGAGGTAAATCAGCGCAAGATACGATATAATTTTTATGCGAAATATTGCTACATTTGATTCTTATTCTCTCTCAGATCTGAGCTCATATGTCGAGTTAAATATTGCAATACACTACCGGATATTCCATTTGATCCGAAATTTATAACGTATCCCTTTGAACCGACTAGGTGAGTAGAAAATAAATCGTCAAACTACGTCGCATTTGTATTTCTGCCTTTAATAATTTGTAATTTCTATAATACAGGTTTATTCAGTATAATCCGACTTCCTTAGAGCGTAATTATAAATATGAAGTATTGACGGAACATGACTTGGGTGTTGAAATTGATCTGATAAATAAGGACACGTATGCAGGAGACGTAAATGCACAGTTAGATCCAGCTGATGAGAAATTATTAGAGGAAGATGTTCTTACGCCGCAAGATTCTAAACGATCCAGACATCATGCCAAGAGTGTTTCGTGGCTTAGGCGTACAGAATATATTTCCACAGAAAGCACTAGATTCCAACCACAAACAGCGGACAAAGTTGAAGCCAAAGTTGGTTATAGCATCAAGAAGAACTTCAAAGTATGACATATTTTCTGCATTATGCAATGTTTACACAATATTTCTATATTTCTTGATATAAAATTTTTCAATTATTTTTAATCAGGAGGAAACACTGTACATGGACCGCGATAGTCAAATAAAAGCTATAGAGAAGACATTTGAAGACAATAAGAAACCAATTGAAAGACATTACAGCAAACCGAATGTAGTACCTACAGAAGTATTGCCAGTATATCCAGACTTTAAGGTACTTAAAATTGTACAACAGCTATTATTGTATAAATATTAATATATCATCATTATATATCAATAACCTTTAATTATGTATCTTATCATTTAGTTATGGAAATATCCATGTGCACAAGTCATATTCGATTCTGATCCTGCACCAACGGGTCGATCTGTACCAGCGCAGATTGAAGAAATGTCGCAAGCTATGATACGGTAAGCTTATGATGTAGTAATTTTATATAATATGAGAGAGAAAAGAAACACATAAAATTAATTTAGAGATGATTATATGAAAACAATGTTTTTTATAGAGGTGTGATGGACGAGAGCGGCGAGCAGTTTGTAGCTTACTTTTTACCGTTGGAAGAAACGTTGGAGAAACGCCGACGAGACTTTACTGCCAGTATCGATTACGCCGATGACGAGGAATACGAGTACAAAATGGCGAGAGAGTATAATTGGAATGTCAAGAGCAAAGCCTCCAAGGGATATGAGGAAAATTATTTCCTCGTAATGAGACAAGAGGGGGTATATATATTATCACATTGTTATATCACGTGCATTATTAATTCCGCGACTCGTCACATTAATCTTTTTGTGTACCGTAGGTTTACTACAACGAATTGGAGACGCGCGTGCGATTGAGCAAACGGCGTCAGAAGGTCGGACAGCAGCCGAATAATACGCGCTTGATTGTACGTCATCGACCACTGAACGCCAATGAATTCAGAATGCAGAGATACCGAGAGAAACAATTGGAGCCGCCTGGAGAAGAAGACGAGGACGAAGAGGAGGAAGAGGAAGAGGAGGAAACTCAACAAGAAGCAGAGAAGAATGATGGCAAAGGTTTGTCAGTTAAAAGTTTGCTTTGTGTGTATATATTTGCTATCGCTATATCGTAGAAAATATTTTTTCGATAAACATAAAATTTGTTTCCAGGTTCTGAAGCGGAGAACGAGGGAGAATCACGCGCCTCGTCGAGGGCATCCTCACGAGCGTCCAGTAGGAAATCGCGATCTAAATCGCGATCACGATCCCGTTCCGGCTCGAGATCGAGATCGCGCTCACGCTCGCGTTCACCGTCCAAATCTAGATCGCGGTCTCGATCGCGCTCGCATTCTCGGTCGCGCTCGCGCTCCCAGTCGCGTTCGCCGTCCAAGTCACGCAGCAAATCACGTTCTAGATCCGGCAGTCCTCAATCCAGGAATTCGTCGCGATCTAGATCGAAATCGAGATCGCGCTCGGGAACGCCTACAAAGTCACCGTCGAGATCTCGGTCGACCTCGCGATCCAAGTCGAGATCACGATCGAGATCGAGATCCGCCACCGGTAGCGGTAGCGGTTCCGCTAGCGCGAGCGGCGAAAGCGGCTCGGAAAGCGAGTGAATCGAGAAGCATGATCGATACTGCTTTGTTAATTTGTCGGTTATTTCCATTCGAATCATTATTTGCACAAAGACTCGTTTATATCGTCGCACTTTTAAAAGTATTCCGCTTGTTTCGGAGAGCGTTACCGTCAATATATATCATTATAATCAGATGTTATTTGAGTACATTCTGCTGTTGGATACATTCTTTGAGCTGCACACGTAATTTTTGCAGAATGTACGAGTGTTCAGCGGCATAATCGAAAAAAATAATAAATTTGTAAAGAAAACATTTTTATTATACATATATACACTTCCAATTCTGAAATCATTTTTCAATGAAAAATATTCTTGCAAACACTTCTCATAGCAATTATGTTACATTTCTGAAAGAGATTTTTTAGTAATTCTTGTGATATATTTTTATTTTTATAATATATACAGATATATATATCAAGATCTAAAAGATGTAGAAAAAGAGATAAATGAAGTTATCTCTCATAAAAAGTTTTCGATAATATTGCAAATAAGCTTTTTGTTGTCTTATGCTATCTCTTATCTTCTTTTTTCCCCCCCACTAATACTCCATTTATACATTCATTTCTTTCCGACGAACACAAAATGCATAATATACGTATAAAAAAGAACAAACCGGATATTCACTCGGTAGGTAAAAATGCCATGTCCTGTCGATAATGTAGCATCTGCGACGAGCAGCTGCATTTCCGAAAGCGTAGTTAGAGGACGACATGTATACTATTCGCGAACCATTCGCGCATTGCGTCATCCGCCGATCGAATCGTATCGGCGAAGTGCACATGGCGGTTCCAATCTACTCTTGGTACGGTCGTTCGAATCATCAGTACGAAAATCTAGTAGCAGGGAACGAGCGTGAGCGGAATCAGCGTGTTGTCGAATCGCACGAGCGGTGAGTGAGTAGACGTAGCAAAGCGTGGCAGATGCACGACAATCGGAAGATTGGCCACGTGGATGAATTTTCCGCGTTCCGACAAATATGTCATTTGTGCGTCGCGGTAGCGCTGCTTCGATCAGGCTTGGGCATTTAACTCGAGGACTTTCGTTTCAATTACATTCTCTCTCTCTATCGCATATATATATATA